CTTGCAATAATTAACAACCTTCAAACTTATCTAACAACTTAATTAAATGCCCTAAAACTTGATTAGCAGCTAAATTATTAATGTCGCTCTCCATAATATAAAAATAAAATGGTAAAGTAATCAATTCAAATTTACCCAGTAAAAATGCAAATTAGTTTTACAAATATGACCCGAAAGTCTACAAAGCTCCAAATTGCTGCTAAGAAAAGTCAAAAGCAGCACGAACTATTGTAACTTCTACAGATAGACCCCAACGTTACAACCGATGCTTTATTCTTTTTTCCCTTATTTCAAAGAATAATGCCATTTCAACATATATATATATAGAGAAGTTGCACAATTAAGACTTCGTTTGGGATGATTTTCTTATTGCTTAAAACAGCTTTTTAGTATAAAAATTTTAAATTTTAAATTAAAAAACTGTTTTTAGAAGCAATAAAAAAGCCATCCTAAATGAAGCCTAAGTCCATTTTCATTGATTGCAATGAGTAAATTACTGTTATAGAATTAAAGTAAAAAAGAGAGAAAATAACAAAAAAGATTACAGCCATAAGATAGGTGGAATAGCTCTTATGGTGCCAGCCATATGTTTAATACCTAGTCCACCTAACTCTTTGGGTTTACAAGTTTTGCTCCAAGAGATAAGACATAACTTTTTAGTATTAATATCTACTTGATTGAGATATTTATAGCAAAATCTTTTATTAGGTTTACATTATGTTTTGGGGATGTTCGGAGCTCTAATCCAGTATGCAAAAAGGTTCCAAATGGTGAATTTAAGAAATTGCATACGACTATCAATTGCGAGTACTTTCGCTTTCTAACATTCAGATAGTTGGGTACTTTTGTGGAAAATGTCAAGACCCTATCATGTTGGATGTGTAACAAGTGGTGTCCAAGACCTAATTGGAAGGAAATTTTTTCAATCACATAAGCATAAAAGTATTAGTACTTTCAAAATATAAAAACATTAGTGCTTTCAATATATATAAACATGAGTACTTTTAACATGCATGGACACCAAACTTTCAATGTGAACAAAACAAATATTTAGTACTTTTGGCATATATATAAATAATATCTATCATATCACAGGAGTATATATAGTGCACATAAAGTGGTAGTAATGATTTATGTATATTTTTCACTTCTCCCTTTTTATCACACACTTTCAGGCATGTAGTATTGGAATATTATTATTTTTAACATAAATGAATAATATCTAACATATACTTAGGAAGAAAATGTTAGCTCCAAGAGGAAAGTGTTAACATAGAAGGAATATTCTATTTTATAAATAGAGTAGGTTAGGTACTCATGCTGACATGAATGCTAGAATGCACATGTTTTAATGCCTATTATTACTCACTTTTCGTCACCTCCCACCTACTTTGAACAGGTGTGGAGCAAAACCAGTGTAATACATAGTGTTTCTAACATAGAGCTAATGTAGAGCTATAACATAACATAGTAGAAGTACATTGCATTGGGCCCAAGCACAAAATTCAAAGTGCATTTTTCTTTTCACAACATTGTTGCAGAATGATATGAAATGCAAAATGTTGCATATGTACAATATAACTAAGGAATTAAAATAGAGTGTATTCAAAACATCTTGTCTTACAAGAACTGCCACACTATTTTATTTTCACTGAAATTATATAAAATACCAGTTCATCATATTTTGTCAACTACATACAAGTTCAAAGGTGGCATATTTATTCAGAACTTTCAGAAATTCACTTAGACGAAGCCAACCAGTGAAAACTCACATTCTTATAATTATTTTGCTTAGAACATCGTATATAACGATATACTAAAAGTTATATAGCGAAACTTTATCCAATCATAAGAAAAATACTTCTTAAGTATATCGCTTTGTAGAAATATCAAAATTGAAATAAAAAATAGAACATAGGTTGCTTATCTCGAGCTTGACAATTTTCTTAACTAGCTCAATTGATGATTTCAGAGTTTTGGCCTCCAAAGCTTCTTCCTTTTTTCTCTCTCCTTTTTTCTCCTCTTCCTCTCTTTCTCTTCTCCAATGATGATGGTTAGTTGAAGTGATTAGACAAATATATTAAGATATTTATTATTTTAAAAACACTCAATTTGGTCTGGCACTATTATGCTAGCCTTCTCAACTTTGTAGCACTCTAGTAGAATGTTCCAGCCATGTTGACATTTTCCTCCCAGTGACACATGTGATAGGAATATCAGTAATGAGACACATTTTCCTTCTAGTGTTGCATCACTATTTTCCTTATCGCCACAGTGCTCATAAGGACAAATTTTAGTCATCAAAATAGAGAATTTGACATTTTCTTCTAAGTGGTAGTGTCATATTTGGCACTCAACGCCACAACACTCACTTTCCAACGCCGTAATATCTCCCAAACAGAGAGTACGTGGCTGCAATATCAAATACCACAATGCCGCAGGCCCGCAACTCCCAACTTAGAGAGGATTGCACCAAAGCGTCAACAATTCAACCTCATAGCGCTCCTAAAAATATTTCCAACCTCAATAATTTTTTCTTTCACTATTTGATCAAGAAAGCACAATAACTCAAAAAATTCGCAAAAATCAATCAAAAATTATGTACATATGCAAAATTTAGTAGGTTTAAATTAATTACAAGCAGACCAGTTATTGTACAAGTGGTTATTACATTCTTTCCTCTTAAGAAAAATTTTTTTATCGACATCTCAATATTTGTACTCATGAGTTAAATAGATCTAAATATAATTGTCTCATCTTAACCTCTTTCTCCCACTTGGCCTCTCCTTCTAATTTGTGCTTTTATTGAACTATGACCATAGGGATTTGCTTGTTCATTAGTTGTTTCATATCATAAGCTAGGATATGTTCATGTTTTTCCTTAAACGTTAAATCAGGATAAATTTCATTTTTTCTTTAGAAACTTATGCTTAGGACTAGTAACACAATGTGCATGTTAGGTGTGTGATCAAGTAATAATAATTTGTAAGCTGATGTCCCAACTCTATTAATCACTTTAAGTGGTTCAATCTATCTTGGACTTAATTTTTCTTTCTCTGTCAAATCTGTTCACACCTATCAAAAGGTTGATCTTTAATAATATAAAATTACCCACCAAAAACTAAGAGCTTGATGCTTCCAATTATAATACTTTATGTGCTTACCCTGAGTTGCTCTCAATCTATCTTTAACTAATTTGATTTTCTTAGTAGCATCATTTACTTATTTGAGACCCATCAATCTATGTACATGAGAAAGGAGTTTTGGGACCCATCAATATCCTCTCACTAACCTCAATTTATGATGCACTAACACTTCTCCTTAAAAAAATACGTAGTGTTCAACATGTACTAGAAACGACATGCATCCGACACGTGTTAGATACGTCGAAGATGTGTCCGACTAAAAACAACAACAACAACATGCCTTTTATACCGCTGTGGGGTCGGCTAAATGAATTTTTTTTCCATTGTGTCCTATCAAGAGTCAAATTCTCATCTAAATCTAATAAAGAAAAGTCATTTCTAATATTTTCTAACTAAGTCTTTTTAGATCTACCTCTACCTTTCTTAACATAAGTGTGACACGTGTCTAAAAATAGTTTTAAAATTTTGTTAAAAATAATGTATTGTATCTCAAAATTTCTCTCTCGTAGGTTGTGGCTAGGGTTTCACAACATTGCTCAAAGTCATATTAATAGCGACGTCCAAAGTTGTCACAACATTAATATTTCAAAAACATCTCAAAATCAAAGTTTAACGTTGTGTTGATATTGATGATCAACATCAGCAATTTCTACACCCACAATCACGCTCCTGTGCCATTTGGACATATCATGTTTGTCCAATATTGTCCAAATATCGACGATCAACGCTATCTTGAGATTGACAACCGATATTATCTTGACATCAATGCCCAATGCCTATTACACGACAACGATGCCTAAATATTAAGAGTATTGTCATCTCGCCTCTCGATGCCTAACATGAATAAAATAAAATTTATAAAAATGCTAAATGTTAATCTCAATTTTGAATTGGAACTTTTTGATAATTTTGAGAATTGAGATCATCAATTAGAATTTTATTTTATCTAATATATAACTCATAATTTTATTCTAGAAGAATTTATATTCATATAATTATAGTAATTCCTAATATAACAACATAATATTTAAATTAAAATAAGCTTGGCTTTTAAATAACATTAAAACATCTATCGATATTTAATTTGGTTGGTCGATGAGTACGATTGGGAACCCCCCAATCCGTTCTTGATTCCCCTCGAACACATCGCCTCTTAAGTAGGAATAATTATTAGGTCCGGACACCGGACAAATAAATATTAGGTTCGGACACCGGACATAGCTCTACATCCGGAGGCCAATAATATGTCGCTACGTGCTCTTACTCTTTACCGTGCGGCCCGACGACCCGATCCCGATCGGAACCTGGGATTGCTATGTTTGCGTATTGATAGGTATTATTAGGTATTGCTTGACAATAAAGAGAAATACCACTCTATCAAGTCCAATACCTAACAATACCGAGCAATACCTAGCAAAACCGGAGTATTGCTTGGTATTGATCTTCACATAATGGTATTTCTCATTATTGTCGAGGAATATCGAGCAATACCCCCGTCTGCACAAATCACCCAATACAAAGCAATCACCGGTCCGGTCCGGGTCGGGTCGTCGGGCCGCACGGTAAAGAGTAAGAGCACGTGACACCATTTTACTGGCGTCCGAATGTAGAGGTACGTCAGGACACCGGACCATATAAAAATTCGTTTAAGTAGGATCCAATCAAGTGTGGGCCAGTAGGTTTCTAAGGTGGGTGTCTCTTCTAGGTTAGCCGAGGATTAATCATGTTGTCAAGTATCCTTTCGAGGGTGACAGCGGGTTAATATCCGTTTCCCAAAAAAAAAAGACATTAAAAATTTCTAATTACAGCACGTATATTTTTATTTATTTACATCAAGAGAAAGATACAACACAATAATAAAAAAAGGAGACATTTTTTATTTTTTAAACTTTAATCCCAGAAATGTTCAAACTCCTGTTACACGAAGTAGAAGCAGAAACCATTTGATCTTACCAGTCACCATCTTCACACTCCAATAGCTTCACAACCAAAAAAAATGGCGGAACCCTAAACCCTAAATTCAGATCGGCGAACTCTTAGCTCCAAACATCTCGTCTAGAAGAATAACAAGCGCCATCGCAACCGCAACATCGAATCCGGGCTGTACAACAAGCCGGAAAACATCGAGCCCAAACGCTACTCCTCCGGCCAGCTCCTTTCGCCGGATCTCCGCCACCACCCGCCGCTTCTCGTCGTACACCAGACAGCAACGCTGCGCGTACGAGCCCTCGATCTCGAACCCCGCGCCGGTATCGCTGCCGCTCGCCGTCGCCGGCGGCGAACCACAAGGAATCACGTGCGCCAGCGACTTTGATTGAATGAATTTCACGTGCTTTCGAACGGAGAAGAGAGGGTTCGCCAACTCCTCACCATCGTAGATCTGCCAGTGTTCTCCCAGGCTCAGTTTCTGCAATCAGAAAACGGGATCAGATTCTCTTATTCATGATTCGTTGATTTTTTTTATTTTTATTTTTTCGTTGAATTGCTTCGGTACTTTCTCAGTTTTAGGAGCTGTTTAGGATTTAAAATAAGTAGGATTTAGTAAATCTTGGAAATTCAGATTTAGAAAAATGTAAAAAATCAGTAAATTTTAATAGATCATTTATCCCAGAATTTCGGATTTATGATTAAAAAAAGTCTAAAATTCATTAAATTCTATGAATAGGAAGCTTTAAGAAATTTTGAACTAATTTATGATGGGGCTGAAATAAGATTGATAGTTCAAAAAAAAAAAAAAAAGAGGATTTAAGCTACAAATATAGTGTTAAAATTCATTAAATTCTATGAATAGGATGATTTATCAAATTTCGAACTAATTGATGGAGCTGAAATAAGAATTATCAAAATAATAAGATTTAAAGTAAAAAAAGAGGATTTAAGCTAAAAAATAATGTTAAAATATTATGATAAAGTTTTTAAATTTATGGAAAAAATTAGTTTAACATTTAATATTTTGAATTATATTAATTTCAATATAATTTCAAAAATAACTTGACATAATTTTTTCATTAGAAATAATTTAAATCTTCTCTAAAATAGGTTACTAAATAGCAATTTAATTTATCTGGGAAGATATTTGGGGGTTGATGGCTAAAGTATAATTTAAATTCTATAAATTCAGATTTAATGAATTTCAAGAGAATTAAAATTTGAAAACAATTTGATTTTTTACAACAATTAAATCTTTATAGACCGTTTGATTATTTTGTTTAAATTTTAGTTTTATGAGAGAAAAACATTTAATTCTTTGAATCTGATGAGTAATAAATAGCAATTTAAGTTATCGGTGAAGATATTTGGGGGTTGATGGCTAAAGTATAATTTAAATTCTATAAATTCAGATTTAATAAATTGCAAGAGAATTAAAATTTGAAAACAATTTGATTTTTTACAACAATTAAATCTTTATAGACCGTTTGATTATTTTGTTTAAATTTTAGTTTTATGAGAGAAAAACATTTAATTCTTGAAATCTGATGAGTAATAAAACTCAATAAATTATGAATTTAATTCATAACGGAACTGAAACAATAAGATTTAAATCCTAAAAAAATTTAATCTAAGTTTTACTTAACAAACAGCTCGGAGGATTAGAAAGACCTTTCGACGAATGGTGAGGAGGGGGCTGCCGGCGGCGTCCATGAGGACGATCTCGCCCTTATTGCCAGATTTGGCGTACTCGTCGACGCGGAAGACAAGATTTCCCTTCGAATCGAAGACGGTGAACCCGTTGCAGTTAAAGAGAAGCGACTTTCGCCATACGGTGAGGGTCACTGGAGCCGTCTCCGGCGGTGTCGGCGGAGGAGGAGAGCAGCGATCGCCGGAGGTGGAGAGCATTGGTTTGGGGGATTCAAGTACGGGTAAGTTTGGGTGAACTCTCTTAGTCATTTTTCTTCGGAGATGGATTTCCGGTCGGCGTTTACCCGTTGGGGGACGGAGAAAGGAGCGACGTCGATCTCAGAGAGAGAGAGAGAGAGAGAGGTTCGTCGGCAAGGGAAACGTCGGATGACGCTGGTCTGTTGTCCTATATTTATAGGTCACTTTGGACGAAAATGCCCTTTATAAAGGCACGAATTCACACGTGCAAAATGCTGAATGAGGTGGCTAGGATTGATGAGATATTTGTTAGGAGCGATTTTAGGATGGTAAAATTCAAATTAGAATCTATGTACAGTAAAGTAAATCTGAATCTGGATGCATTTTTTAACGGTGAACTTTCCACCGAAAAAAAATAAAAAAAAAATTACATGCATGCCATTTTATTTCATGATATTTATATATTTAATATCTAAAATATTAATATTATATGTTTATCATCCATAGAATAAATTTGAATACATGAAATAAAATATTAAAATTTATAGGATGGTTTGAACGGTATAAATGAATTATAGGAGTGATATATTTGATATTAAAGTTATATATGGGTGGTAAATATGTAATATTAATATTTTGGGTGTTAGATATGAAATAAAGTGGTATGTATGTAAATTTCCCCAAAAAAAACTTTAAGCTTCCAAATTTAATGCAGGACTGTCGAAAGATCAATTGCAATAAAGTTATGCTTGAATTGAACATTTTGATAAGAAGAATTTATGGGCATCAGAATGATCAAAGTGTAAATAAATTTACATTTAAATTTTTTGATTTGTTTATTTAAAAATTGATATGTCATCAAAAATCATATTGACCGGACACTAAATTTGATGCATATTTGAATTGAAAATGTTTGAAACTAAATTCATGATCATATGAACTTTGATTTCAATAAATTTATAGGCAAACTAGAAGTCTTTACGAGGCGAAATCAACAACATTGAAAATGGTCTAAACTGAGCTTACGTAAGCCAAAATCAATTGCCCGAAGTGCAATTGAAAACTTTAGAATATTAATTTGTTGATCAAATGATCTCTACATTAGGCATGCTTATAATAGAATTGAGCTGCTCAAAAAGATTAATCCAAGGAGCCTAATATTAGCTAAATATGATGTCATTTAAGACACTTGTGTTGAATGAATATTTTATGTTCAAAAGAATCAATATGGTATGATAAAATGTTACTCTAAAAAATTTATAAATAGATTCATACTTTCTACATGTAGGGGAAAGGCTTAGGCCGCCACAATCGTGAAACCTGGAGGTGTCACAAGCTCCTTACTACAATCCTCGAACCATCGTTGTTTGATAAGAGTTATTTGACCATCGTCATCTTTTCGCAGTTCTGTGACATGGTGCCGAGTTACATCAACTCATGTAGACTTTGCTAAGTACCATCATCAACAATGCTAATTCATGCCATCACTCATAAGGTCAATACGGACTGTTAACAACTTTGATGCTCAAGATCAGTGCCAAGATTTATGCGGACTTTTTCAATCTTTGATATTCTCACCTCAAAGATGAATTAACAAACAAGCAACAAATGATCTATTGAATATAACATATATGCCATGGAGCTTTTCTAATTTTTATCATGAAATCTATTGTGTAATTTATTGCAATGTTGTATTCAAATCTTTCCCAATTATGAAAAAAAAATATCATTCATAATCGATGATAAACACCAATTGAATAATTTCAACAAGATCAGATCTTATAATTTTCTCCTTTTTTCACATTTTTTCATAAAAAATATATTATATTGTCTCTCACGACCCTTATTACCAACATATATATATATATATATATATCAGTTTACTTTAATTATTTAATTATCTTTAGAAGTGCATCTTTTGATAAATTACATTCAAAATCCACAATGCCTGTAATTTTTCTCTTTACTGGGATGTGATAGACGACGTCTATTTGATAAGAGATTTTTATGTGCGGAAATTGGATATAGAGAACCGTTCAGTTTTATCTTGTAAAGATAAAATCGAATGATTCTTTGTGTCCGGTCTCCTCAAATAATAATCTCTTCATTTTTTGAGAAGAGCATTTAATAACCTTCTTAAAATTATATATAAATAAAATTGAGAAAAAATATGATAAATTTAAATTATTAAATTTATTTTAGCTGTTTGGAGTGTAGATTTTATTTAATTTTCATACATTAATTCACCTAATGATTTTGAAATTTAAGCCAATTAAAATATTTTCTAATATATATAAAATAAGAACATAGTTCATCTTGGCATGTAATAAAAAGTTAGCTTGATTAAGAATCAATCATGTTGTATATTTGAATTAAATTCGTATTTATATATTCTAGTTATGATTTGAGTAAGACTATAGTTGAACTGAACATCTCTATGAGATGAACACAATGGCAAAAATAGTGGTTATATTTGAGTTTGAATAAGTCTTGATTGAACGCTTGAAGCATAATTAAAAATTTTGAGATATTAATTAGAGGATCAAATAGTATCTAAGTATCTTATGCTAATGATCAAATTGTCTTAAGAAGATGAATCTAACGAGCCAAAAAAACATCTAATTCTAACATAGCTAAGGCACTTAAATGATGAAAGTATAGTTTATGACCGATGGATTAAACATGAACTATTTAATGTAGTGTTCTAAAATTTGACAACGTCTATATGGCATGATGCTCTGAAAAATATATAAACATACCCTCACTTTTTACATGGGATGGTGCATGGATCTTATCTTGAGATTCAAGAGAGCTTAGAAGCATAAAATATCTTCGATCTCCACCCAAACACCACCTTCAGATCATCGCTTGAATGCCACCATTGAACCAACACTCAACTCATGTCGTCGAGGCATTGCTTTATTGTTGTCGTTTGAATATTATTTTTCAAATCGTCATTGTTTGACCACCACTATCAAATTGTTGTTGCCCAACCTCGATTCTTGGACCACTATCACTTGAGTACTATAACTCTCTAACCATTGTTACTCAATGACAGTCATCTGACCACTGTCATATGTCTACAATCTTTTGACTACTATCGCTCGATTTTGATTTCTAAACTACTGTCCCTTGACTACCGTCGCATGATTACAACCATTTAACAGCTATCGCTTGACTAAGGTTCATTGATCATTGTGCTCTATCTTCAATCCTTTGACATTGTTTCCTTACTATAATAGTCCAACCACATCATGCTGTTATAACCTCCTGATCACTGTTGTCTTACTTTGACCTTTTGATCACCTTTGTCTGACGGCGATCCCCTGTCCATTACCACTTGATTAGGTATCATCATTTATTTTTTGGTTTATAAGTTTTCTACATAAAAACTTTGATATTATATATTTGTAACTTTTCTTTTATCAATTGATGATATATTTTTTGTATAAAATTAAAATATTAATTTCTCTATATCACCACAAATGTCTTACATGTAACCCACTTATTAATCTTTCAAAAGTTAAATAATATCAAATCAATTATTCTCAGACATGCAGAAATTAATATCGAAACCCTAAAATCAACCCATCTTTCTCTCCTTCACATCCCATCTACCTTTGAAATTATAGTATGAATCCTTGAACTTTATAGTTCATTTCAGCTAATTTTCTTATATTTAATTTTAATCAAAATTAATTCATATTTGATTTTAAAAATTGATTATATATAATTAAAAAAACACTTTATCTCACATACCTATTACTTAATTTTATAATCAAAATTTATTCATATTTATTTAATAAGTCAAAATTAGTGGACCACAATGATCAATCAAATGACATCACATAATTTAATAAAGAAAATATGTCGCTCTTTTTTAAAGCAAATGTAGCCCCTTACTTACAACTGAGCATTTCAAAGTCATATTAATTATAAATTTAATAAAATTAAATAAATTTTTATGCCGATTAAAATCTTAATTAATGACTAATCACAGAAAAATCTTAAAAATGGATCTAAACCTAGCTCTCTAATTGAAAGAGATAAGTATGGTAAATTAGATTAGATTAATTAATTCACTAATTATTTTGGTAATTAATTAAGTTGATCTGACGGTGGAAGGACCACACACGTCATTAAAGTGTGATTTACAAAGGAAAAAAAAAAAAAGAATCAATGACATACCTTAGAGGACAATTAAGTTCATTAATTATGATAATATGAACAAAAGACAAGTCAATTTTACACATTTGATTTTGATTATTAAATGGCGATTAATTATTTCTAAAACATAAATTGTTGATTAATTTGCCACCCATTGAATGGCGACCTACTTCACTCAATAATGATATACTAGTTTTATTTTGTTGTAATTTTGATTTCATTGCAATTAAAATTGAATAAAAATACATTAATTTTGTTTATTTATTTATTTTAATGAAAAATCTTGGCTAATTATCAAAGTTCTATTATAATTTTATCAGTAAAATTTGTTAAATTTTATCTGTAAAATAATTTGAATCTCATTGGGATAATCTTTTTTTATTTTATCTATTTTTAAGGATACATTTTGATTTTTTTTTTAACAAAAACAATTGAAACAGAAGAATTTATTAAGATATCGAAATTAAAAGAAAATACTAAATTTTGAAATATTGGAATTTATAAATCTACTTATATTAATAAAATTAATATCATATTTTAAATAAAACAATTTTTGAATTTTCATATAGAAAATGATTATCGTATAATTCACATGAAATATATTTAATCCAGTCAATATTGTGAAATGCTATACTTATCATTCTATGAACAACCAAAAAGTTCTGATTTGTGGCATTTAGAGAGAGATAAAAGGGAGAATGCCAAAGAAACATACATGTTCTAATATATTAGGTATTATACTTAATTTTGATTTTTTTTTTTCGACATTTAGGCCAATTAAGACTTTTTTGTGATTATTTTCATACTGTTTCTTAAAGCTGCTTTTTTGTACGAGAATTAAAATTCTTGTAGAAAAAAATAACTTTAAGAGCAGAAAGAAAGTAGTCCTGAACAAAACTTAAGTCAAACTCACACCGACATCAAATACCTTCATCATTCTATGAACAACCAAAAAGTTCTGATTTGTGGCATTTAGAGAGATAAAAAGGAGAATGCCAAAGAAACATAAATGTTCTAATATATTA